CTGCACGGCGCGCCTGCACTGTACGGCTGGGTGGTCGGCTGGCCGTTCGTGCGAAGCCGCGTGCCCTGCGCATGCACCACTTGTCGGCGACTACAGTCGGTGCGGTTACGCCGGGGTGCGGTTTGCGAGTTGCTTTGTGGCGGTCTTTCCGGGGCCTTTTGTGAGAGACAATGTCAAAATGGTCGTCGTTTCGAGCGACACTGCCATCCTCGATGTGTGCCCCACTGCACCAGAAGGAGCGACAGTGTCCTGTGATTCGGTCGCACTGAGTGACCGTGCCATACGTTTCCCGGGGGCGGGAGGGGCAGATATGACGGGAGGCAAACCGCACCCTTCGCAAACCTCACCCATTGTAGTCGCCGAGCTCGGGCGGGCCTCTGTGGGAGGTTCTCCGGTGGCGCCCCTTCGGGGTGCCGCCCGCCGCCCCGTGTCGTTGGCCCGCAGGCCCTCCGCCGGGGCGGTTGGCGCTCTCAGCGGGGTGGACATGCCCCGAGGGGCCCCCCGGCTCCACGCAGCCCAGCTACGCAGCCCCCCCCCCCCCCGCCCTCCTTTCCCTGCTTCGTCTGGCCGCTGGCATTCAGTCAATGTCAAGCAATGCCAAACTCTGCCAATCAATGCTTTGCATTGCATCGCTTCGCAATGTTCATGACTGCTTTGAGCTGCTCCAGAAGAAAGAATACCCGAGTTGGGCTCGATCAAAAAGTTCGATCCAAGGTTGGCTCGGGGTAGAAACCGTGCCGTCTTCACTAACATATGCGCCTGACTCAATATCCAATGCGCTGGGCACGCTCGGGCAAGTCGCATGGGCAGATGGGACTCGCCTGGAAGAACAAACGAAAAACTCAAGCTGGAACGGAAACAAAACTCTGCTTCACACACCCTCTTGGGTCCCGTCAGAAGCCAACTCACGAGAGTGCGCGCACATAAGCAAACGCGGATTGCTACTGCGAGCGGCTGGCGCAACATCCTTTCAAACGTCAGGCCGAATCTCTGCAATTGGACTCCACTGCATTCAGTCGGGCCTGTCCCTCTACAGGCGGCATCTCCAAACATCGTCAAAAGATGATATGGGAACAATGTTTGACTATGTTTGAGCACTTTGGGTGCATGTTTGAAGATTTGTTTTTAGATTTTTCGTCGAAGATCCCCCTGTACGGGGACACGCCCGACTTCACGCTGGCACGCTCGGTCTGCACACGGGGGGGGGGGGCCCCGTGTCCCCCCCCCCTTCCCCCCCGCCTCTCCATGAGTTCTCCCCCCGCTCCCTGTTCCCTCGTCCTTCCCTCTTCTCTGATCCCTCCCCCCCTCCTCCCCGTCCTCCTCCCGCCCTCTTTCCCTCCTCCCCTGTCCCCCCGCCTCTCCATGAATCCCCCCCCACTCCCTGTTCCCTCGTCCTTCCCTCCTCTCTGATGCCTCCCCCCCTCCTCCCCTCTTCCTCCTCCCTCCCTCTTTCCCTCCCTCCCCTGCCCTGCCTCCTCCACCCCGTCCTCCTTCACCTGTCGGGCATGCACCCGCCCCTCAAGCTAGGGATCGAGTCAAAAGGTGTTTTTTGGGCGCGATCTCGCTGTTGTTGTTGTTGTTGCTGCTGTTATTGGTGGTGGTGTGGTGGTTGTTGTTGTTGTAGTTGTTGTTGGTGGTGTTGTTGCTGCTGTTATGGTTGTTGCTGTTGTTACTGTCGTTGTTGCCTGGTGTTGTCGTTGTCGTTGTCGTTGTTGATGTTGGTGGTGGTGGTGGTTGTTGTGCTGTTGCTGCTGTTGGTGATGTTGATGTTGTTGCTGATGTTGCTGTTGCTGTTGCTGTTGCTGTTGTTGGTGTTGTTGAACTCATTACTGAAGAATAAGTATTGTTGATCCCCCCTCCGGTGCACATTGTATTTTTTAATTGAAGTGCCCCTCCCAGCGCTCGCACCCGGTTTTTCATCAGGGAAAGTCATCCTCCTCAAACTGTGCCCCTGGCCCTCGGTTTACAACAACAACAACAACAACAACAACAACAACAATCACTTTACCCGAACGCTCAGTGTTCTCACCAGTGCCAGGGTTTTCATGCGACGCCAGCCAATACCCCCACTTTGTGGGGGGGCCGGTTCAAGCTCTACCAAATTTCCAAACGACTCTTCGCCACCACCCACACCCAGCTTCCCGCCCTATGACGTTCGGACACTTCACTTCGTGGCATGCGGACGACCGTGGCTACTATTCAGGGCCCCGCGGCCGACGACGACGGCGTGCGCGCGCGAAGAAAAAACGAATGTGTCCCGCATGGTATTATTTGACAGGGATGATGGCCCTGGCAGGTGCGCAACCGTTGTCGCAGAAGTTCGAAAAAGTTGCTCGCAAAAGCCCGTTTGACAGAAATGTTTAAAAAGTGTTGGGTTTCCTACGAATCCGCAAGAGCGCGCGGGATGAGATTTTGACATTTTTTTGTTGAAAAACCATTGGTTTTTTGATGTTTTTATGTTAAAATCGCTCCGAACACTAAGCTTTTGGAAGGATTTCGTCTTGCGCGCGCGAATGTCCACTTTACCTTATTTTTTTGCAAGGGATTCTTGAAATTTGATTATATTAGAACAAGAAATGTCATTTTATAGTGTTTTTTGCAAGGGAAAGCGGGGGGGAACAAAACAACCGGATCTTGATCACATCGAATTACCTGAGGCTTCCTCACGAAAATTATGAAAATGTAGCTGCGGCCTAGGCGGCGCAGGGGGGCCGTGCACCAGGGGCCCCAACAATAATTATTCTTTAGAATTAATAATGTTCAACAACAACAACAACAGCTCCCGCTTGATACTTCCTCGAAATTTACTCTGGTCCCCCGCTCCCGCTTGAGACTTCACGCAATTCACTCAAGAATCGCGCTCCCGCCTGAGACTTCTTTGTAATTTATTCAGGCGCCGCGCTCTTGCCATTCAGGAATCGCGCGTTCGCTGGGGACTTCCTCAAATTTACTTAGGAAGCGCTCTCGCACTGGAAGCTTCCTGGCTAATCACGCAGAACTCACGGTCGATCCGCCCGCTCGGCCCGCGCGTCAGGGTCATGCCCTTCGTGCCCCATGCTCGCTCGCGCCCTTTGTGCCTCATTGCTACCCTTCGTGGCCCCTCCCCTTGTGGCCCAGTCGCTGCCCTTCGTGGCCCCTCGCTGCCCTCGGTGGCCCATATATCTCCCTTCGTGGCCCCCAGTCGCTCGTGCCCTCAGTGGCCCCATTGCTGCCCTTCGTGGCCCCGCTGCTGCCCTCAGTGGCCCCCTCGCTGCCCTTTGTGGCGCATGTATACGCCCTTCGTGGCCCCCAGTCGCTCGTGCCCTCAGTGGCCCCATTGCTGCCCTTCGTGGCCCCAGTGTGCATAGCCCCGTGTGCTCCCCCCCCCCCGCTGCCCCAATGTGGCCCCCTCGTTGCCCTTTGTGGCCCATATGTTTGCCCTTCGTGGCCCCCAGTCGCTCGTGCCCTCAGTGCCCCCATTGCTGACCTGGCCCTTTGTGGCCCATATATACGCCCTTCGTGGCCCCCAGTCGCTCGTGCCCTCAGTGCCCGTTGCAGCCCTTCGTGGCCGCCTCGCTGCCCTTCGTGGCCCCCTGGCTTTGTTTCGTGGCCCCGTTGCAGCCCTTCGTGGCCCCTTCGCTGCCCTTCGTGGCCCCGTTGCATCCCTTCGTGGCCCCCTCGCTGCCCTTCGTGGCCCCGTTGCTGCCCTCAGTGGCCCCGTCCTTGCCCTCCGCGGCCCAGTATACGTATGCCCCTCGTGGCCCCGGTCGCTCGGGGCCTTTGTGGCCCCATGTGCATGCCCTTCGTGGCCCCGCTATCGCCGTTTGTGGCCCCCTCACTGTCCTACGTGGCCCAGTTGCTACCCTCAGTGGCCCCATCGTTGCCTTCTGTGGCCCCGCATTATCTGCCTGGCCCCCGCTCGTTCGCGCTCTTCGTGGCCCCATACGCATTCACTTCGTGTCCCCGCTGTCGCCCTTCGTGGCCTACTTCGTGTCCTTGTGGCCCTGCTGTCGTTCTCTCTCGCTCTCGCTTTCGCTCGTCGCCGTCGCCGCCGCCGTCGTCGTCGTCGCCGTCGTCGTCGTCGACGTCGTCGTCGTCGTGGTCGGTCCCCTGTCCGTCCCTCTTGGGGTCGGGTCGACGGTCCGCGGCCGCCCCGACGATCAGCGCTGCCGCTCCGCGGCCGCCCTGCCGCTTGCCGGGGCCCGGCCCGCAGGGAAGAAAGGTATACGTACCACCCAAAAGGGGTTCGATCGAAGACGAAGAGGGCGGGTATCGAGGGTTTGGGAACTGCGCGTTATTGGGCACTCGAGCAGGTAAGGGCGAACAGTCTTAAAAGTATTGTTGTTGTTGGTGTTGGTGTTGTTATGGCTCGTGTTCTTGATGTTGCTGCTGTTGTTGGTGGTGCTGCTGTTGTTGTTGTTGTTGTTGGTGGTGGTGGTGGTGGTGGTGGTGGTGGTGGTGGTGGTGTTGTTGTTGTTGGTGGTGGTGGTGTTGGTGTTGGTGTTGTTGTTGGTGGTGTTGTTGGTTGTGGTGTTGTTGTTGGTACTCTTTGGGCGGGCCTGGGCCCAATCTACTCGACCCGCCATCCTACTTCATGTTTCCAGCTCCCTCTGCCGACTGGCGGGTATACTTGTTTGCCCTAGACTCAACGCTGGTGTACAGCTCGCAGTTCGCTGCTGCAGTCCCGCCCACCCCGCCCGCGCTAAACCGCGTCCACATCTATCTTGCAAGAACTTGAATTCATAACGATCCTCACATGGTTCTCACAGACTGTCGGCCACGCGCAGAGGGGGGTAGGGGGGGCGGAAGGCTTCTTGAAAAATGCACCCCTGCTTCTTAGCAGGCGCTGGCGTTCTCTGTTGACGTAAGGCAGGCGCCTGCCAAGAAGCAGGGTGCTTCTGAGAAGCCTCCCCCCTCTCCCCCTACCCCCCTCTGCGCGCCGCCTAGACCGGGAGGACCTCTCAGCATCCATCCCCGCCGCCCCCGCCGCCCTCGCCGGCCCGCGGCGCGCGCCTCCCCAG